TTTATGAAGTGGACAAGAACTGAGAAGAGATTGAGGTATGGTACTAATTTTTGCATCCTACCTTTTTGAGATTTKGGGGATCTTTACACATATCTTTGAGAGATTCTGCAGCTTCGAGCTTAAATGGCTTTGAAAAATTAACCAAAATATCATATCAATAAAATAAGAACTGTTCCTCACCAGCCTTGAAAATACAGTAGGGCAGTCGGCAAAGATGAAAACAATTTTTTAGACTACCATTTTATAGACTATACATGTAAGTGAAAATATACTTGAAAATTCATTAAGTGCACACATCTATTTCACATAAGGTTGATTCATGAAGGTGTTGTTGCAGCACCAAGCCCAAACTGCATTATGGATGATGTCAATACCAACAGCCAAAGGTCACAATATTGATCTGAGATTTCCCAAAACTTTGTCTGTCATTTTTCCAATATATTTTCTTCTATGCAGACAATATTTACCCATGAATATATTTCAAGCTTAGTAAGCAGCGCTGAAGATGTATAAAACCTTCACCAACCTTTTTTGAAATAGCTGTAAACATACATGAAAATTAGCATCCCTTTACTCCAACATATGTACTACCTCTACCCCTGGCCCACCTCTCAAGGAATGATTTCTCTCCCTACTTTTCTTACCAACTGTAGAGAACGTGACTTGGTGACGAGAGAAGTGACTGGCAGACAGAAGTCACACACTCTTTCAGGATCTTCAAATCCCATTTGTGGTAATGGAACCTGCAGATTCAAATTTGAAATATATTTTTATAATATATTATATATATATATATATTTAAGGAATATAAATCATGCGCACCTCTCTGTACTGTGATATAAACATGTTAAGGGCTGTAAAGCATGCAAGAGAAGCAGGTTTTCTCTATAACCTATATAGCATTTGAATGCTAGTCAACTACATAGCATTCAGCCATGAAGCACACACGTGAACTACAGTAATACTACAAGCTACTGGTACTATTGCTGGTTTGCAATCGTTCCCAAGAAAATGAAATAACAAAAGGCACAGTGCCCATGTTGGTTGCTATAACAAAATAGACCAATGACTAATATTTTGTTAAATTCATCCAACATGGCGGCTGTGAAAACCATCAAGTGGCCATCAAGTAAGCTTATATATGCATGTCTGCTTTGCAAAGCATTGAAAAATACTCTATGCTTTTTCTTTGTAAAGATACAATAAATTACCTTCTCATTACAGCATTTATAACAGAGCACTCTCCCACACTGCCTGCAGTGATGTTTTCTTCTTAACTGATTAAACTTTTGACTACAGTGCGGACAAACGTGAGCTTCTTCATCAGCCATCCATCTAAAAACACAACCACAACACGTAAAACACTAAAAACAACCCAAATAAACAACACAATGGGCTGGAATTAAACATATGCGTACTTAAATACCTGGGTTTTACGAGTAGGAATGGCGTGGATGAGAAAACATTAGCAGGACCTTCTGTTTTAGCTGGGAAAACATCGTTGTCTTCAAGACGAATGCAGTTAGCCCGCGCCATCTTGGATCTTGGATTGGGACATCACGTACCAAAGGGAGCCCACTGAAACGAAATCGAATCGAAAAGTTATTCATATCAGTTTATTTTTTTAATAGCATGTCGACAAGCAAAATAAAAATAAAAATAAAAATAAGAAATCAAAATAAAAGATCAAAATGAAAWAAATAAAAAATAAATAAAAAAAATTGTATGAGAGAAAAGAGCTTTGGGCTCCCTGTGGCAAGTTCAAGTCAAGTTAAGTCAAGTTCTTCGATCAAAGCGTTTAGTCGAGTGCAAGAATCATGAAGATCACTGAACTAAGGACTCCAGCTCTCCTCGTGGACTTGGAGAAGCTAAAGAAGAACTGCGAGGACATGATTGAAAGATGTAAGACGATTGGAGTAGTCTTAAGACCACATATGAAGACTCATAAGACATTGTAAGTATTGAAGTATCGGCCTGGCCTGGTAAGATCTATTAAATATTAAATATATTATAACATAGTTAATGGAGCGGAATGGTTGGGAAACCTATTGTTCTAGGTTTTTGTTCGACTTTATCCATTGTCATATGACGTAACCGTGCACAGAGAAGGAAGTGTTGGAATATAGAAGCTTTCCCTAAACAAATCGTTCTAAGGGACCGATCATTTTTTTAGCTGGGAGGGGGGATGGTGGAATTGAGGGGTGGGGACATCCGAAAAATTTAGGCCCAAAATGGGGACCAGGCAAAAAAAGGCTTAGAGTAAAGGTCTGGTTGATTGAAAACGCTGGTTGATTTGGGGGGGCCACCAGAAAAAATTGGGGGTCTAGGGATGGGCCATCAAAACGYTTAAAAAAATGATCGGTCTCTAAAATAGTTATTATTTGTTAATTAATCCTATATGATAATATTAGTTGGTTATTGAACACTGGGGGAGAGAGGCGGGATACTCTTGCTCGTTTAGGGTAGGGATATGCCGCTGAGCCCTCTGAACCCTGACCCTGTTCCAGAGTAAAATCGCTGAAATTCATACCCTGTTCCAGAGCAAGATC